AACAACCCTCCCTCTACTGCTGACCGTTGATGTCAAGTTGTTGTCGACGATGACGATTCAGCCGTCGTTCTACTTGATCCATCACACGTGACACCATTATTACGATGTGTTTGACACTGTTGGGTCATTATTCTGTTAATATAAGTCAACATGGGGACTTTTACAATCACTACTAAAAGGATATTCAGTTGAAAAAGAAACTGGCATAAGTACACGCAGATATTCTGATAAACCATTATTACAAACTCTTATTTTGTCACTATTTCGCTAAATTTAAGATAAACAAAGAACATTAATTAGAAGGAAACACTGGAGCCCTTAGCCAAGTATAACCGCAGCAAAACATCCTAGCTATTCCCTGAAGCAGAATATGAGAATCGAATTTGAGACAAAGGCATTGGAAAAGTAGTAGATACATAGATCAGATCTGTCTTCAAAGAGGCTGCACCCACCGCTTGATCTGCTGTAGTTGCGTCCCACAGACAAAGCATGTTGAACAATAAACATAAGAAAAAACCAGTAAAGAACTGAATTTGTTTAACCAAAAAAAGAAAAAAGAAGATAAACTTTCATGCCATAAAGGAGAGATATGACTTTTTTTTTTGTTGGGAAATATATGATAGCTAATCCATTTCCTCAATAGCAACTTAATTTGTTCCAACTTTCCGACCGAAATGTTTAAGCATGAGGGCCATGTTGACATAAAGTTGATTAACCAAACTGTCAAATAATGGGAAAAATTTATGTCTCCATGCTCTAATGAGAAAGAGAGAACCACAAATTCCCCAAAAACCTGCTGCCAACCCAACTCCCATCCCAAGATACAATGACTTGAGAAAGATGTCATCTTCATTTTCTTCGGCCAGCTTTAAGTTGTGAACTTCTTCTTTCTTGTTACACTTATTTGGAAGAGGGTCTCCACAAAGTTGAAGATTACCAACAAAACACCAAAAATCAAAACTCTAAATTTGAGTCCCTAAAGGGATTTGTCCAGTGAAATTATTGTATGAGAGGTTCAAGTAAGCAAGAAAAGATATATTAGAGATGGCTGAAGGAATTTTTCCATGAAGTCTGTTGTGGCTGAGATCAAGAGATTCCAAGTTTTCATGCCTCCAATTTCTTTGGGAATCTTTCCACTCAAATGGTTTTGAGACAAGTTCAAGGATTGCATTTGACTCATACTAAATAGCTCCTTGGGAATTTCTCCAGACAAATTGTTAGAGGAAAGATCAATTATCCGCAAAAACAAAATGTCAGCATAATCTAATTCTCTTCCTTTAGTATATATGTTTATAGTTTCTGCCCACAAAAGCTGATCAGTTGAATCCATAATGTTATATAAGCAATGAGGTATGGATCCAAAAGGATTATTATCACCAAGATCTAATATCATAAGAGAAGAGAGATTGCACAATTGTAATGGAATCTCACCGACAAATTGGTTGGCCCTCAACTTGAAAACTACCAAACGCGGAGGCATTGTAGTTGGCAAACTTCCAGAAAATTCATTTCCCTCCAAAAGAAGGTATTGCAAATTTGTCCAATTTGATATGTCTAATGAAAATTCGCCAAAGAAATTGTTATCACGTAAATCCAATATCCAAGGATTCAATGAGGCCATGGAGGGAGGAACTTTACCCTCTAGCTCATTACCCCTCAAATTAAGGTATTCTAATCGTTTCCCATTAACCCAACAGTCAGGAATTGCTCCACTTAAATGATTATGTGATAAGTCCAAATAAGACAATATGCTTTCCTTGTCACTCTCTAGTTGGCACAATAATAAGAAAATCGAGCCTGACAAAGAATTGTGAGATACATCAAAGTGAGAGATAATTGTTGACAGTGTGACATTGGATATGTCATCACTGATCATGCTGTTTGACAAATCAACATAATAAATTCCTGTTACCAACCTCCAAAACAAATCAGCATCAATTATGGAGATCCCTAAGGTAGAAATGTCTAGATATTTTAGAGACTGTTGTGTATATAGCCATGTTAGGATATTAGGCCCTATATTTGTGGTACTCAAATTCAAATGCTGAAGTTGGAATGGTGGGACCCATTTAGGATCAAAGTCAAATTTGAAACCACTTGAACTCAGGTCTAACCATGTCAATTTTGAGAGTTTGGTAAAATTCTTTTTTGAAATAACTCCCACCCAATGATTGCCACCAATGCCTAAAGATTCTAAGTTATGGAGCTCTCCAAGGTTTTTGGGAAGATTTCCACTGAAATGATTATGGGACAAATCTAAGGAAATCAAGGAAGAAATATTTCCAAGACATGATGGAATAGAGCCGCTGAACAAATTACCATAGGTGTCAAAATAATGCATCTGTTCATGTTAGCAAAACCAATCAGGAATTGATCCTATGAGATTATTAAAGCTCAACCTCAAACTTTTAAGGTTTGGAAGCTTGAACAGGTTCTTCGGTACTTGACCATAGAAATCATTGTCAGAAAGCTCAAGATGAGATAGTTTTTGTGTAAAATCAAAGAGTGAATTATGTAATTCTGAGTTGAGCATGTTGTGAGAAAGATCAAGAGTTACCAGTGATGTCAAATTGACATAGCTGAGGGATGAAAAATCTCTCAACTCATAACTGCTCAGATATAACTCAGAAAGCGAAGGTATCAAAGAGATATAATAGTGCCAATTGGTTTCATTTCCAACACTAGAGTAATAAGGTCTAAATATTTTAAAGAAGAAAGTTGAGAAATCCAATGAGGATCATTTATTCGCAAATGATAATTATGCGAAAAATCTAGGTGAAGCAGAGGAGAAGATTTGGAGACTGGCGTTGAGGAATACTCACAAATTCAAATCGATTATGGCTCAGATCCAAGTTGATGAGAAGTTCAAGTTGAAGAAGAGATAGATTAATCCCACCTTGTAAGCCATGGCGAGCTAGATCAAGCTCTGCAACTCTGCCATTGATATCACACAGAACTCCAGACCACAAACAACAATCTTCAGGACTAGTCCATGAAAAGAGTTTGTTTAAAGGATCCACCACTCCTTGATCAAGAGTGGTCCTCGATCATTCTCGTTGCAACGAATCGCATTGTTTGTTTTACATTGCCTGTTGCAAGCAAAAGAAACAAGAAAACAATTGAAGTTTTTGAAGTGAAGCAGACCATCATGGTTGACTTGAGCAGAATGAACACAACCTAGTCTTTATGTGATATATATATATATATATATATATATGTGGAGCAACGTGAACAATTAGTTTTTTAAAGTTTATAACAGGTTAAAAACTAAATAATCAACTAAAAAGCCATTCCTTTTTTGAGCTTGCAAACACCATCTTAAAATCTCCACTTGCCCCTAAATTTAGACATGTTGAATTGTAAATCATAAAATTTTAGTTGTAAATTTGCACTAAGAACCAGCTGTAAATATAATCCCATAAAAACCGCATTCTCCTCTTATATTTACAGTCGGTGCTCATCAGATTGTGTAGGCAATAAGGCTGACCAATTCAGCGGTAATTGCAAATTTTTTGTTTTCAGGGAGAGATTAGGCAAGGAAAATAAAATTTTTTATTTTATATTGATATTGATGTGCCTTACAATCAATCATAGAAGTGTAATATAGGAAATGTTAATAATGTAATTGGCTTTACCGATTTTCCCTTTCAAGAGGAGATTAGGCAGGGAATACTATATCTCAAGTTTTGTTTTTATTTTTCAATTTGACCAGTTAATAGCTACGTCTACTTGTTAACAACAAAATTAATTAATTTTACCCCAAAAAAAAAAAACTATTACGCTACATTGTTTTGTAGTGGGACCGATTATAGTTTTTATGTTTTATACTGAGATTAATGCCGTGCCGGCCCCTAATCATTTTGCCTCAATAATGTAATTGGAGGAATCAATCAACAATTTTACTAATAATTTTTTTGCCGGACAGTTTTACTAATGATATCCCATATAATCGTTAGGAACAATAACAAGAAAAAAGTTGAAAATTTGTAAATACCAAATAAGGAATGTCAACAAAAATTTGTTGTTATTTGCAAATTTAGAATTATCAATATCAAATAAAGTTGTGTTATCAAACCTCATTTAGAATTTGCAATTTCCAACTTCTTTTTTTGTCATTGTCTCTAATCTTTATTATTATATATTAATTTTGTTGGGTCTTGTTTCTAGCTATAGCAGCATTTTTGGAAAAAAAAAAAACATACATAACAAATCCAAGTAGACGTCACACTTACACCAAAAAAAAAAAAAGGTGTGACGAGTTGAAATATGAGGAGACCATATTCTTTAGGCTTCATATGAATGAACTTTTTTCTATTCATATATCTAGACTTACTTACAATACTAAATATAAAGCCTTGGAAAATATTTCATAGAATAAAGTCACTAGCTTTTTGTAGAAATTTTGACAAAATCTCCCTTAAAAATTGGATTTCTCAAAAATTCTACAAATCAAAATGGAGAAGGGTTTAAGTGTAATTAAGGGATCTCCCAAATCCTATTATTTGTTAATGACTCTGTTATTTCGTACAGGATAATTCAAAATGAAACAGAGCATCTCAACTATGTGGAACAGAGCAATCACATGAAACACTATTTATCAAAAGTTTCTTAACAATGCGAGACACACATACTACACGCACTTATCACTATTATTACAACATATTCTCTTCCCGAAATTCACTAAATTTAAGATAACAAAAGGGCATTCAATAGGCAACATCTGAATCCTTGACCACGCGTAACAGCACTCCTCAGCTTATTCCTTGAAGCAAACTCAATATTTGAAGGAGAGGAATGATCAGAGTAGTGATAGCTGTTTCACTTGCATCCCATATTGAAAAATAAACAAGATAGAACGTAGTCAGCTAAGAATAGAATGTTTTAGCAAGTAGAAGAAGATGCAATGGAAAAAGGAAAATGAAACCTCATTAAAATAATAACATTACTTAAAGAATTAGGGCAGCTAATTTATTACCTCGAGGAAAATTTGTTATTGATATTCAACCAAAGCTTTTGAAACAGAGGGCCAAGGCAACATAAAGTTGATCTGTCAAGTGACCAAACCATCGGAAAAATTTGTGTCTCCATGCTCTGATAAGGAAGAGAGAACCACAAACTCCCCAAAAGCCCACTGCAAATCCAACCCCCATGCCAAGATACAATGACTTTAGAAAGCTGTCATCTTCATCTTCTTCAGCTAGCTTTGAGCCATGAGTTTCTTCCTTTTTGTTACACTTCTTTGGAAGAGGATCTCCACAAAGTTCGGGATTGCCAAGAAAACTCCAAGAATCAAAACTTTGAATTTGGGTTCCCGATGGAATTCGCCTGATGAAATTGTTGTATGAGAGGTTCAAATAAGCAAGAAATGACAAATTAGAGATGGTTGAAGGAATTTCTCCGAGAAGTTTATTGTAGCTGAGATCAAGAGATTCTAAGTATTTCATGCCTCCAATTTCTTTAGGAATTTTTCCAGTCAAATAGTTTCGAGACAAGTTCAAGGATAATATTTTACTCATACTAACCAGTTCTTCAGGAATTTCTCCAGACAAGCTATTAGCAGAAAGATCAATAATGCCACGTCCAAAACTTAGAAAACTATCAACTTGATAGGCTAATTTACTTCCTTTAGTAAATATGTGCACTATTGCAATAGACTGATCTATGATATAAGGTAGATGTTTGGCCCAAAAAGGAAGATCAGGTAGATGTTCGATGATGCGTAGGCAGTGAGGTATAGATCCAGAAAGCTTATTTTCAGCAAGATCGATTATGTTCAAATAAGAAAGTTCGCACAAGATTGTTGGAATATTGCCAGTAAATTGATTGGTCCTCAATTTAATAATTCCCAAATTCTCCGCCATTGGAATTGGCAAACTTCCAGAAAACTTATTTCGGTCTAAAAGCAAGTATTCCAAATTTGTCCAATTTAGCTTGTCTAATGAAAATTTTCCAAAGAAACCATTGTCACTCAAATCCAACTTATAAAGATTCAATGAAGTCAATGAGGGAGGGACTTTACCTGTTAGCTTGTTACTCCCCAAATTAAGGTATTTTAATTTTTTCCAATTGTTCCAACAATCGGGAAGTGTTCCACTCAAATTATTATGTGATAAATCCAACACCTCCAAGTTGGTTTCCTTTTCACTCTCTTGATGGCACAATAATGAGAAGATAGATCCTGACAAAGAGTTGTGAGATGCATCAAAGTAGGACATATTTGCTGATATAATGACATTGGATATATTATCACCACCAATCAAGTTGTTTGAAATATCAACTCTACCAATTCTTGATATAAAGCTCCAAAATACATCTGCATCAATGTTTGAAATTCCTGATGCTGAAATATTCAAATCACTTAAAGACCTTTGTGTATATAGCCATGGTGAAACATTATGACCTATGCTCGTGTTACCCAAATACAATGCCTTGAGTTGAAAAGGTGGGACCCATTTAGGATCAATGTCAAATTCAAAACTTGTTGAACTTAAGTCCAGTGATATTAAATTTGAGAGATTAGCAAAATTCTTTTCAGTAAGAGCACCCACCAAGGAATTGTGTCCAACATGTAATAGATTTAAGTTACGGAGTTGTCCAAGGGTTTCTAAAAGGTTGCCACTCAATTGGTTGCAGGACAAGTCTAAGTAGAGCAAGGAAGAAATGTTTCCAAGAAATGATGGAATTACGCCATCAAACAAATTACCTCTGATATCCAAGTATTGCAACTGTTCATATTGGCCTAACCAATCTGAAATCAATCCTTCAAGATTATTAAAACTAAAATCTAAATACTTGAGGTTCTGAAGATTGAGCAAGGACTTTGGTAATTGGCCATGGAAATTGCAAAAACCAAGGTCAAGATGATGGATTTGATGGGTGATATTAAAAAATGAATCAGGTAACTTTGACTCCACCATATAATAATTATAAGAAAGATCAAGAACTTCAAGTGAGGTAAGATTGATATAATCAAGGGATGGAAAATCTCTAAGTCTACACCCACTTAAGTGTAACTTAAAGAGTGAAGGAAGCATGGCTATATGCTGGAGCCATTTGGTATCATCTCCAATATCACTGTCACTAAGGTCAAGATATTTTAAGGAAGAAAGTTGAGAAAGCCAATAAAGGTCATTTATGGCTAAACCATGATTATATGAAAAGTTCAGATAACGCAGAGCAACAGAGAAACTTGCAGAGTGATTGGAAGGAGTAGCAAGTGATTGGTTGTGAAAATTGTGAGCATCAAAGGGAGATTTGGAGATTTGGCATGGTGGCATACTCACAGTTTCAAAGTCATTGTCGCTCAAGTCCACGTGGTTGAGAAATTTAAGTTGAAGCACACACAGACTAATCTCACCTCCTAATGAATGATTGAAGAGAGAAAGCTCTGTGACTCTTCCGGTGATGTTGTGGCAGTGAACTCCCTCCCATAAACAGCAGTCTTCTTCAACACTCCAAGATGAGAGTTGGTTGGTTGGATCAACCACTCCTTGTTTGAAGATTAAAAGCAACCTTTGATCATTTTCATTGCAACTCATCACCCTGTTTAATGTTGTTGCAAATAACAGAAACAACAAAAGAAGGGAAATCTGTGAAGCGAAGCTAGCCATTGTGGTAAGTGAGTTTGAATATGATGGCCTCAATGAAGTCTTTACATATATATATATATATATATATATATGTATGTATGTATATGTATGTATGTAGACACACAATATATTGGAAAATCTAAAGTAAACAAAAACTTAAATGCCTTAAAAAATTGATAACAGCGTGATATTTCTTGTTGTCAAGTCTAATAATATTTCTAAGTCTCCCCGTCTTTTCAATAGAAAATCGCGTCATGAATAAGAAAACACCACAGATATAATACATTAATATCATATATATTTAGATCCTTTTAAAACTAGCGGGTTTTAGGAAAAAAACTGGAGACAATTATGTGTAAAAATATTGAAGGCTAATAGCTCAGTGATTTTATTTTATTTTTAAAATGTTTGAAAACAAAACAAATCCTATATGGGCTCCATGAATGGCATGGAGCTTAAAGAATAATCACCACTATTTTATGACTTATAAATAAAATACTTAAGGCAAATTTTATATTTTATATTGTTATCAATTATAAAACGAGTCCACAAACACGCACTCACGTAATGAACTCAAAGTGAATTAATTTTATTTATTTTTGTTTTAGTCCAGAAGTGAATAAATTAATTCAGATAATCGAAATTCTAATAAATATTTTGCTCTGAAGTTTGATTTTCTTGGATCAGAAAGTGGACAAAATTTTAGTATGACCCGAAAATAATAAATCGTTTCTTATAAAATTTAATATAACCCAAAAAAAATCACAATAATTCCGTTCGGACTCCAACTTTTCCTTTTTATTCTTTTAAGCTTTTTTTTTTGCCGTAATTCTATTTAGCTTATTTATTTATTGCTTGCTGATTACTTATTTCCTTCCTATTCACATGCCTTCCAAATACACGACATGTACATTCATAACAAAACTAAGTACCTGAGCTAAAATTTAATATACATTCGGGCTTTAATAGGTTCTAAAAAAAATTGATCCCATATACAAAATATTTAATTGGCGTATAGATTTTACTTCTTCGTTTCTAAATATAAGATCCACTTTATAGTGTAATTTATACTACAAAGTAGGTCTTATATTTAGCATCGAAGTAGTATCATTTATGTTTTCTTGAACTGTGTTTAATTTGAATACATTATATATATTTAATGTAGGTTTGCAAGAAAAAATTACCGTCGAAAGTTTGCATTAATTCACTATCTTTACTCCAAACACACCACAAAATCAGAGCTCTAAAATTCAAATGACATTGTACGTTGAAATAACAAAGCAAATGAAATTTTCAAAATGAACCTGTCATCATGATTTATTCGAGTAGAATTAATTCAATTAAGTTTTTATTTATATTACATAGTCACGATGTGCATATATAAGTTGTGAAAAATGAAAATGATTACAAATAAATTGTTTATAAGAAAATATTGAAAAAATAAAAAATGGATAAAAAACCTATAACCATTTTTTTTAATGGTCAAGTCTTCTAATTCTCCCAAGTCTTTCCATCTTTTCAAGAAAAAATTAGAATATTAAACATTCATTTTCATATCATTTTCCATTCGTATCCTCTTTTTTTTATTTCCATAACCAAATCGTTTGAACGCTTCAAAAGATAAAAGTCGCTTAAGCAACAAATTAAAGTTTTTTTTCCCATTCAATTAGAGGATTTCTGCGAATACAACTTTTAGCTTTCAAAATAAGAAAAATATCGTATGAATTATTATTTAGACCTTTTATGTTCAGTTCATATTATCATCGACAACAACATCAATGACATTGGTGCCATGGAGAAATTGCAAACAATTATACTACCTCTAATCCTAATTATAAGACTTTATTTGTAAACTACAAACTGTTTTAGATGTTTTTAGTACTTTAGTTTTTTCAAATTAGTTAACTAGGTTTCATTAATGCCCTTTCCAGAATGCTTATAAAGTCTTCGTCCCAAATTATACTCAATTTGAGTCTCTGGTCATTAATGAAACCCATCAAGAAGTAGCTTCCGTTGTTATCATCCCTTTGGATTTCTTTCGGTGGAAGAGATTTTGCCAATTTTTCCAAAAATCATTTTCTACCAAATTGCATTAATTAGTCCAAGAGCAATTACCCATGTTGCAATATGTTTTTTTTCAAGTCTTTAATCCTTTCCCAAGAAACTTCACAATTCTCAACTGTGGAATTTATTGGGACCCATACTAACTTGGATCATGCCAAAGAAGATTTAACATATTGAAGTCACTGCCCCTTCATGACGCTTGTAAAGTCTTTGTCCCAAACTATGCTCCATTTCGATCTTTCTACTTATTAATGAAACCCATCATAAGGCTTCCATTTTATCATCTCTTTCAATTCCTTTGGTAAAAGAGATTCTCACCTCTAGTTAAATTGGTACTGGTACAACTTACCAGTTAAAACAGATGCTCAATGATAATAACGGAAATCAAAAGGAAGGGGAGTAATGTAATATACTGTGGTAGTAATTGAAACAACAAATTCTCTAAGTCCATCGCCAATTCATCATAGCTCATTCGAGCAACTTTGGAAAATATTTTATGTATCGTGATGAACGACACATTTTAATTATTTTATGATGATTTTTCTCTCCCCATTGGCGAAATTTGTCTGGGATTTTTTTTTTCAGAGAAAAAAGTCATTCACACCCTTTGAAAGAGGCACTAAATCAAAATTCTGCACAATTTATTCTTTTTTGGCCAAATGCACAATTCAAAATTCTACTCTGTTGCGTGATTTTCTCTTCTGGGATTATGTGCTTTTTTTTTTTTGACAATTGTGGTGTAAGTTTCAGTGTGATGACTTCCATGAAGTCTTTTCGTTATATAAATGGCATAAAAAATGGATAACCGCGTGATATTTCTTATTGTCAATTCTACTAATAATGTTTCCAAGTCGTCCCGTCTTTACAATAGAAAATCGTGTCATGAATTGAATGCATGCAATTCTTACCGTTTTCAATTTCCAAAAGCAAATTGAGTTACTGGATATTTTTAACTACATCTTTTTCCCCCCAACATCATGAATAAGAAAATACCACAGATATAATCTATTATATATTTATATCCTTTTAAAGTTAGTAGATGTTTGGTAAAAACTGGGGACAATTATGTATAAAATAAAAATAGAGGGTCAATACTCGGTGATTTTTTTTTTTTTAAATGTTTGCAAACAAAACGAATCCTATCTGGGCTCCATGAATGGCATGGTGCTTAAAGAATAATCAACACTAGTTTATGACACAAATAAAATAACTTATTATAAATTTTATATTTTATATTATCAATTATCGAAGTCTTATACACACACCTTCACTCATGTATTGAAGTCAAAGTGAATTAATTTTATTTATTTTTTAATCCAGAAATGAATAAATTAATTCGGATCGTTGAAATTTGAATAAATATTTGAGCTCTGAAGTTTGATTTTTATGTATAAGAAATCGGACAAAATTTTAGTAAGGCCTGAAAATAATAAAGTGTATGTACAATTTCTTATAATACTTAATATAAGCAAAAAATATAAAAATTGCGTATAACTTCCATAAAAAGAAATTGTTAATTCCTTTCTTTCCTTTCCTATTCACATGCGTTCCACTCTCCAAATTTGTGAGCGAAAATTTAAAAGATAATAACCCATTGCTTAAAATTATTGAAAAATAACAAGTTTATATAATTTTTGGTTTCCTAAGTTTGTTCTCATTCTCGTTTTAGTCTCTGGGTTTCAAACTATAAATTTTAGTCCCTCAAAAAGCAAAATAGTCTTTTTTTTTTGGAATAATATGGATTAATGTTTTAAATAGAAAAAAATTTCAGAAATTAAAACTTATGATTTAAAATTTAAGAGACCAAAACTAAAATGAAAACAAATTTTAGAGATAAAAAATTATATTAATCTAAAATAAAAGGTAAACGAGCATTTAAATATGTAATAAAATTGACAACCACATTTTTTTAACGGTCAAGCCTTCCCATCTTAGGGAGGTAAAATTAGAACATTAATGCATTCATTTTCATGTCATTTTTCCAATCTCATCTTCATTTTCAATTCCCACAACCAAATGGTTTGAACATTTAAGAAAGTAAAAGTTTGGGGGATGTTTTTAATTTCAAAGGAGAATGTCTGAAGATTATTCAAACGTAAATCAAGTATTTATTTATCGTAATGAAATAGAATTATTTTTTTATTTTTACCTATGATATTAGCGATGTACTTTTTGTATCTTGAGTTACGTTGTCATATAAAAGTCCAGTAGAATTAGATGTGGCCTTCCAAAATACTATGAGAAAATCTATAAAAAAAAACCTTTAAAATTTGAAAATTTTAAAATATATTGTCATTTACTTTTTTTAATATTATCAATTGTTATTAAAGTATAGTAAATAAGTTTGTTAAAAAAAGTGTGGTAAATAAGACTGAGTTAGAATTTTGAAATTCAACAGTATTTTTTTAAAATTCTCTCAAATACTGTTTTTTTTTTCAACTTCGTTTCTTGCCAATTCTTAGGTGCTCCTGAAGTACCAACTCATCCCAACTCTGTCCAAAAAATACTCCAGCACAATTCATTGAGGAGATAAAAGGGATGATCGCATGAAGTTGGAGGTTTGACTGCCAGCTTATTGCTAGAGATGATAACCTCATGGCAGACGCTCTAGCAAAGAGAGCCCTGAATGATAACCCGAGTTTCCTTATCCTGGGCCCCAACAGTGTTCGCAATTTCTTGGACCTCGAAGGAATAGGATAGTCATGTGTTTTTCTTTGTTGCTTTTGATTTCCCTTGTATCAAAAAAAAAAAAAAAACTCCAGCACAATTAATTTGAATCCAACATGTGAGAAATTCTTAGGTAATCTCGATGTGCCAGCTCATCTGAACTCTATCCAATAAAAATAATCCACTTCAAATAATTTTATCTACCTGTCATCCCACTCATTTCCATTAATTGTGTTTTTGAAGAAAACGAGATTGTCTGG